TTGGCCATGTTTTTATCGCGAACAAAATAATAATAATAAAAAAAGAAGAGGAGGGAAAAAAAAGTACTGATTGAGTTAACACCTTATTCCCACCAGTTGGTTGGGGGGCTTTGCGTGTCCGCTTTATCAGCGATATGGCGACGTCTACCGATCATGTGCCCAGCAGCAAATTTGTCACGCTTATCAGGTCGAAAAAAGGGGGGTTTATACATATACATATATGTGGAGATAGGGGCGGGGCATTTTGCGGATCGAGGCGGTTAAGGCAAAAGAACAATAAATTATCAGCAACACTGATTTGATTTGGCCACATCGCTTAAGATTGTTTCAAATATGTGCATTCAATAGATGCATTTTAACAATGGACTGTTGTCCCGTCGACAAGGTGACACTTATATTGAGCCACTTGAATTGCATAACTCTGAGATTAAAGCATATTATTGTAAAATGAATAGGAACTGCAATCGGTTGATTATTAAACAATGTATATAACGTGTACATTTGCCTAATAAACTCTTTATGGGTGAGAAAAACCCTATGCTGATAACGAAAAGCATAATTTTATTGATACGAAATGGTAATATATGACGGTATTTACACAGAGAGAATTCTGACGTTCTCATCTGAGTTGAAAATGTTCTTAAAAATATAAATGCCTTTTTTAAGTTCAAAATGTTCTAAATGTGCTTGAATTAAGTTAAATTGGTTCTTAAAATCTAGTTGAGCTTAGAATGTTCTTGAAATAAGAACGAAATGTTATTATTTTAGCACAGGGTTCTTAAATCAAATCGATTTTGTTCTCAAAAACCACAATCCCTCAAAATGTTCTCAGTTTGAGAACGAAAAGGACTAAAGAATGAACAAAAATTAAGTTGCATTTCAACTTAAAGTGATTCAAAACTCTATTCTCTAATTTTTATGGATTTCCTAGAAAGCGTTAGGATGTTTTCGTTTGACACCTAGCACGCATTAGGCCATTTTCCTTTGCTCCAATACGACCTTACCATTAGATTTGCCCTTTTCGTCTTATTTATAATTCCCAACTGGGTCTAGCCCTTCATGAACCAAGGCCAAGTCAGATATTGAGACTTTAAGACTTTTTTTCTGGCTTAAGTCTTTAATGAACTTCCACACTAGCTGGAAGTCAAGTGCAACGCGCACCTTTATAAGGTGTAATGGACAACTACCTTTTTAATATTACTTATAAATTACTCTTATCCTTAGCTAAAATCAAACTCAAAATGCTATAGAATTGAGAGCAAAAAGTGCTGTAAATAGAACAAGTGAACTTATATTTGAATCCATTTGATTTAAAAATGTTCTTGAATTAAGAACAAAATCAACTTGAAAATAGAACGAAGTGAACTTAATGTCGGATTTTTAGCTAACACCATTTCGTTCTGATATTGAGAACATTCAACTCGAAATGAGAACATTTGTGCTTACCCGGTTTTTAAGAACGAATGTTCTTGATTTGAGTGCAATGTTCTTGGTTTTTTTTCTCTGTGTACTAATTATTTATGATATGATAGGATAAAGTTTTATCTATTTATATAATGCCCAAAGTGAGTTAAGAACAAGTGGTAAATGGTAGATGGAAGTTTTGTGGCGAAATACCTCACATGATACCTCACCCCCATCGATGCGATGATTTGGGGCCCCCTTTTTCTTTATCTCGCGTATCTCGGGACCCTCAAACTTTCCATGACGCCCGTTTAGGCGGCGTTATCTCGGCGCATAACTAGAATTCTGGATCGGTAATCCGAATCCGTCCAGGTGGAAATGGGTCCACTTGAGCTTTGCCCATGGGTCATAAAATCCCGATTTAGATTCCCTAATCAACAAAAAATCCGCTGCGGCCGTAAAACTTAATATACAAATGATGTGTACATACTTATACAGTGTATAAATTATGCATTTGCTCTTATGCAATCGCTTTATCATCTGTTTACTATTTCCTTTCCTTTTTTTTTTGTTTTTTTTGCACGCCCTCTCTATCTGCACACTCTCTTTACTTTCTACACCCTCTCTCTCTTAGTTTGTTTTGAAAAAAAAGGGCCGTGGGCGTTACGTAAGAATCGTCACGATTTGTGACGTATTAGCGAAGAGGCGATAAAAAATTTCGCGTGTTGCCATTTCGTCGTGCTACGTCAAACGCGAATAAAAAAAGTTTTTTTGGCCTGAACACTGAGCAAAAAGAGGAAAGCCTGAATATTAAACCATATATAAATTAAGCTAATTGACAAAAAAAAACCGTATGTAGTTTAACATTTACAGCAATTATTTATAGACAAAACAAGTAAAAGACGAAAAAATTAACTAAAATGCCTCGGCCGACGTCAGCGCGATTTTTTTTGGCACTCTGCCAGCGTCGGCAGAACAGGAAGAACAAGAATCGGGGAGCGTGCATAACATTTGCCAAAACTACACAGCGAGAAATTAAAGTTTTGTTTTTATTTATTACAAATATAATAATAATATTTGTATTTTTTCTGTATTATTTGTTATGAAAATTTAATTAGTTTAATTTTTCCAAGATTTGTTTTATTATAATAAAATATATAATTGTTTTTTAGTTTTTCAAACCTAAACTGTTGTTTTAAGCATAGCTTAATATAAATTTTCCCTTCATATTTTTGCGAAATGACCTTAGTTTTTTCCCGGTATAAATATTACCCAACGCGGGTCAAAGAAAACGAAAAACACCCCCGAAAAAACGCAAAAGGAGGCTCGTCCTGCGAGCCCTTCTTCGTGTGTATGTATGTGTGCAAAGCCGACTGCGTGTGTGTGATATTGATTTTTCAATTATCAAATCGCAAATTCCTTCTTTTCGGTCTCTTTTTTTTAGCATTATGCAATCCACACACATTGCAAGTGTGCATCATTGCCGGTGGTGGGCGGTGGGTGGTGTTCGGTGTTGAGTGGAAGTGGGCGTGCTGCTCCTCCTTTTGCTTTAAGGTCATTCGGCGGACACTTCTCTTTTGCCAGAAAGAGATGCTTGTTTTTTTTTTGGCAACAACAACAATAACGTGACACGCATGGGAAATACGGAACAGAAGAGAGGAGAGGGGAAATGGTTCTCTTTTGTTTTTATTCTCTCTCCGCTCTCCTCTCTCTTACTCTCTCTTCTTTTGGCTCTGCGCCGTGGCATTTGTTTTTGTTGTTGTAAATTTACAAGAATAAGGTAAGGTAAAAAAAAAAACTTAAGCCGGACTTGTGGAAATTTACCATAAAAAATCTAAAGAAATTGGGCGGGTCGAAGAGAAGAGTTCGTCAAACCCGAAAAAACAGAGTTTTATTTATAGAGGCAGTCCGATGTTGCCAAAAAAAAAAAAGAAATTGGGCGAATTTCATTTGGCGATTATGTAATGTATTAGAACAAAACACACATACAAATGGACATACATATATACGAGCACACACTCGCAGGGGCACTTATCATTTGCCAACAACAATGGAGCGAATAAAGTTTCTTAATCGCAAGCACATGGCTGGAAATTCTTCTTTTTTTATTCCAGCGTGACGTGCGTGGAAGAAGAAGAGCGGGAAGGAGTAGGAGTAGGATAAGAAGAAGAAGCAGCAGGAGAAGGTGTTGACAACAAAAGCGTCGACACACTTTACAGTTATCAAAACGGAAGGGGCGGAGGGGGAAGGGGCGTAAAAGGAAGTGGGAATCTGAGGAAGATACACTGAACAAAAATGCTACCCAAAGGGGAAACTCACCTGTGCCTCGGTCAATTTGCGTGCGGAAATGCGGTAGAGCGACATGGCAATGCGATTACGTACGGTACTGCGAGTAGAAGAAAAACACTTTCGCCTTGGCTAGAAGAAAATCCCTCTCTCGCACTGAGAAAAAACACAGACACACACAGAAAAAAATTGCCTCCTCCTTTTTCCTGGAAGTGAAGTGTTCTTTTCGTGGGTTTCTCGTCTAGCAGCTGCGCGGCAACTGAATGTTGCCCGCCAAGCGCGCATTTCCACGGGCCGTTGAAAAAACACACACACACACCCGCTAATTCCCACGCAACGGTGTTTTGGGCTTACCCGATGCAAGGTCACACTAAAGGTGGACTGGCACTTTATACACCCACGCCGTAAATGGAATTACCCCGCTTGCAAAGATTGGTTACTAATTTTAAAGCTTTAGATTGGTAACCAATTCAAAGGGTTTACTCTTGCCAGCACAAGTATTGCATTTTCATTCAAAATTCGCGTTTTAACTCTGGTTCACACCCCCAATCAGTGCTGGCAACTCGGTTTTTTTCAAGCCAAATACTACCGTTATTATTATTCCTGGTAAACTTTGCAACTTAAATCTAATATTTTATGAGAAAAAGGCTAAAGACTCAAGAAGTCAACCTAGTTTTATCGCCATTTGTACAATTTTTCCTTCTGAGCCCCGAAACACAACGGTAAAACAAAACTCACTTGCGCTTCCGAGACTTTTCCCAAGGATTCAGGACTCGGCTGCTGCTGTTCCTTCAGTTGGCCTGTAGTATCATCTTCCTGCTTGGAGCGCAACCGTTGGAAGCCAAAGGGTTTGGCGTCCCAAATTGACTTTTTGGCCAAAGAACGGTGTTGCATTGAAAAATACTGCCTCGAAGAGGCACTTACAAGGCGAAGCACGAACATGATTGTATAAAAAGTGAAGAAACTTTCAATTTTCCGACTTTGCTTTCCTCTTTTAAAGGAATATCAAGCCTAGTGATGTTAGAAATTGAAATACTTTGACAGGAAAGTGAGATATAGAATCGATTGAAATATTAATAATCGTTGAAAATTCGATGATTAAATTCAGGACTAAAAATGTATTATTTTAATAAAATAAATTCAAAGAACTCCAAAAATAAAACTAATATAAATAAATGTTTTGAAATCTACAGCTTGAAAAATAGATTTTATTTCAAATATTCCTTACCACTTAGCCAGTACAGCCACCACAGTCAGCGGTGGTCAACCCTCGATATAAGCCAATCGATAACAACGAAAAGTGCGTAATATCGACCCACTCACATCACTAGGTGTTATGCAAAATACGTCATTTTTTGTAACTTTTCGACTGGTTTTTTCCCCTTAATCGAGCGTAAGTGCTGATTTGGCCAGGCCCGCAGCCGACCTATATCTCTGACCATCCGCAGGAGGAGTCAACATGGCGACGGCCGTGCCGCATTGCCCCCCGAAACAGGACCTGCCCCCGCCGGGCGGCTACAAGAAGATCCCCTTCGCCCGCGTGCCGCCCAAGAGCTACTTCACAGGTGAGTTATATGGTGCAATATCTGTATAATCAGGATATATATATATGCCATTTCGATATGCCAAGGCTTCACCATGATCGGCAGCTATGTGGCCGTAACGGCCGTCGGCCTGGGAATCTACTATCTGACCGCCAAGAAGGTGAAGCGCGACGAGATCGAGATGCGTTCCGCCCAGAATGTGATCTTCCCGATTTTGGTCGCTGAGAGGGATCGCGAGTTCCTGCGCCAGCTGCGCCGAAATAGGGACGAGGAGGCCGAGCTGATGAAGAACGTGCCCGGCTGGGAGGTGGGCACCTGGTACGGCGAGCCCGTCTTCAAGACTCTGCCCGAGGACACCCTGGTGACGCCGATCTTCAAGGAGTTCTACGCCCACTCCGACTGGAAGTCGTACGCCAAGCGTGCCCATCTGAAGCTCTGGTCGTAAATCTAGTTAATGCCTAAGCCGCCTCCTTTTTTTGTTAGTCTATATGCGCCGCCTGAGTGCTAAAATATTGCCCAATTATAATGTCAGATTGGCTGTATTTTTCGCCGTGTTTCCATGTTTTTGTCCTTTTTGGATTGGAGCAGCGAGGTTACCAGAGATTTCGACGGGGGCGTTGCCGTCCAGCTGCAAAATAGTGCTCAAAAATGGCCAAATATTATAGTGGGGAATCCCACTGGTTTGGTTTATGGATAAAAATCATTTAATTGAAATTATAAGCGGAAAAATCCAAGCTACACAATAAAAATGGAAACTTATTAGAAAAAAATATTTAATTGAAAAATTGAAGCTTAGCATAGGGGTAAAAATATATATATATAAATGACTATATATAACATTAACAAATTGTAGAATAGAAAAGGGTTCATGATTTAGTGTTTTATTGAATTCAACATCGATTTGACGCGCGTTTTTGTGTGCCAGCATTTGTTTTTTCGGTTATTACACAATAGCGGGTGGTTTGGGGGCTCTATCATTAAGTAGTCGTAATTAAAAGTAAGTAATATATATCTATACATTGGCCATAATCGCCAGCCGTGTGTTCATCTCAATCAAACCTTCTTTTAAAGCCGCAAAGGTGGCCGAAAAAATCAAATTATAACATGTGTGGATTGTGGGTGGTGTGAAACAAAGGCTCGCTCGTTGAGGCCCCGAAAAAAGCAAGTGTGTGTGGTGTCCATCTGGTGATCCTGCTGCTCCTCCTACTTCATGTCCCTGCGCCGCTTGATGCTCCCATCGCAGGTGGGCAGGTGGCGCTGCAGGAAGCCCTCGAAGACGAACTTGCGGCCGCAGCGCTCGCAGCTGAACTCGCGCTTCTCCTCCACCTGCTGCTTGTGCTGGCGCAGTGCCTCCGCATTGGAGTACTTGTCGCGGCAGGCGTCGCAGGCATAGCGCCGCTTCACCTGGCCCACATCGAAGACCACCGTGAAGTTCTGCGAGCAGAAGGCGCACTGGAACTCCTTGACCACCACCTTCTTGCCGCCATGAGCGGCAGCCAAGGCAACCGCCTCGGCCTCCAGCTTATCCTGATGCTTGTGCGACTCCATGTGAGCCGAGTACTTGGTCTCGTCGACGAACTTGCGATAGCAGCGCGTGCAGCGGAAGGGCTGCTCGCCCGTGTGCCGCATCATGTGCTCCTTGAGGTACGCAACCGAATTGAAGACCTTGCTGCACACCTTGCACTTGCGGTCCTCGGCGGAGACCTCGTTTCGCTGGCGCAGGCAGGCGCGCATGTGGAGCTTCAGCGAGCCGGCGGCACTGTAGCAATTGCCGCAGTTGGGGCAGTAGAAGGTCTTGTTCCGCGAGTGCGGATCCTGCTCGGCCTGGTCGATGGTGCCCTCGAAAACGATGGAGCCCACTTCGTCGTCCTCGTCCTCCTCCTCCTCCTGCTCCACGGTGACGATCTCGTCGTCATGCTCCAGCTCCTCGCCCTCCTCCAGCTCATGGTCCCCCTCCCCGTCCTCCTCCTCGTCCAGCTCCTCCTCCTCCTCTCCGCCAGCGTGATGCAGATTGGGCACTATGTGCAGAATGGTGTGCGTGCCGTCGCCCTGCTCGATGGTCTCCACCTCCTCGACGGTGCTGTTCTCGACCAGCTGCTGCAGGGTCACCGCATGGCCGTTCTCGTCGATGATCACCTCCTGGGCGTTGGCCAGAGCCTCGTGCTCCCGGTCGCTGAGGGTGACCACCGCCGTTTCGGTGACGTCGTCGTCGTCGGCGGTGGCGTAGGCATAGGTGTAGTGGGTCTCCTGGTCGTCGTGGTCGTCGTGGTGGTGGTGGTGGTGGTGCTCCTCCTCCAGCTGCTCCTCCTCCTCCTGCTCCTCGTGCTCCTCCACCTCGGGATCGTGCTGGATGAGCACCGTTTCCTCCTTCACCGCGGCGTATTTCACACGCTTGGCATTCATTTTGGTTACGGGGATTTAGATGGCGGAGCAAGTGCGTCCGGCTGCGGGAAGCTGGTGAATTGAAAAGAACTTTGGCAGGACGGCTTCGTCCCTTTTCAGTTTTCCCGGCTGACAGCTCCACTTCCCTCCTCCTCTCTCTTTCTCTCGCCTGTCGCTCTCTCTCTGTCGCTCCCTCGCAACCTATCGGGCCAGGTGTCACCTGGAAAGTGGTAACCTAAATCCAATCCCCGCCTGCTTGCTCCGGCAACTTCTTTTTGGCGGCTCTTTCGCTCCGCTTTTTTTCCACAATAGTCAACACTACGAATTTAATATACAATTTTTGGTGGCAACTTCGGCCAAGATGGTGGAAAAAAGCAGAGCTGCATGCGGTCTGGCCATGTACGTCAAATTAGCGACGATGGGTTAGCAACGAAATTGGAACGCTGAAATGTGGAACACGGGTGCTATTTTATTTTTCCATTTTATCGCTCTTTGGGGGTTGAATTGTGAAATGAGTGATGCTAAATTGCTTGGCATACAAATATCTATCGATCTAGATAGCGAATGCGATAAAGTGCATTCTGTGCGAGCCGTATTAATTCAGTAAAGTTTGCATGGAAAATATGTGTTCATTTCGCTGGCAATATTTAGTGCATTTTTGGTATTCTTATTTATCGCTGGGTCAATCGATAAGTGGCAACGCTGACAATTGCGCGGGCATTCAAAATGCCCGTTTAAAGAATTTTCAGATTTAATCTATTTATAAAAAAGTTAGTTTTGGATTGATTAATTTTAATTTTAATTTTACTTATAAACAAAACAAAAAGGAAAAATGTATATTCTTACCAAAACCCAAACCCAAACTTTCCACGCCAAAATAATTGGTTTTTTGACCGTAACAATGGAAATATTGATCCAAATATGAATTGTCATACCTTTCTGAACTCGTTGTTAAATTTCCAATCGATTGGCATTTAAACCTGTACATTTTATTTTTTTTGCAATTTTTCGTAAAAAATTATGATGTACCCCCTTATAAAAAAATTGAAAATTTGAGAAAATTTTATTTTTTCAAGATCACCCGGAAAGTGTCATAGACCTATTTATTATTTTGTTATCTGTTCAAAACAGCATGTATTTTTGTTGTAGGACCATTTTTGGCCAAGTTACAGCAAAAAGTCAAGTCCCATGAGGAAATGTTTTATGTTGATTTTCTATTCACACGAAGCTGTATAAATCTAAAACACTGGGTAAACCCCATTTCCCCCGCTTTTAAGACATTAAGACGTGCCCTGTCGTGAGGAAGATGTCAGGGAAATCGGCGAGACTATTTTCGCCACTGCATTTGTCACGTCGCCAAGCAATTTTTGCTTTTGGCTGCGATCGGTGGTCTCTAAAAAATTCGCCAGCGCCTCTCGCATCTAAAATTAGTGCTGCTAAATGTGGAAATTGCACTCAGAGTTCAAGCAATTCGGCTGCCATTTAGCCATTGTTTTCTCGTTTTCTGGCGTGACACCCCCTAAAACGACCTTGAACCAATTATCGCCGATTGACGATCGATCGGCGATGTCGGAAAAGCTCGTAACTGACTCAGCCGACCGTCAATTGAAGATCATTCAGCGAATTCCCATGAATGGAAAGTTTTTGCCCGCTTAACCCTCTAGCTAATATTTATTTAGCCATTTTTAACCGATTACCTAATAGACACCAATAGAAAAAACCTAAATCACAAAATATCTGTGAAATTAATATTTTAAATAAATCTTTAATAATTTTCTATATTATTGTGAAATTGCATTAAACCAATCATCTAATTTAAAGCACATTCTGGCATTTAAGATACTCAAGCTATCTACGTAAACACAAATAGTTGGGTTGAGTGGGAAAAGGGTTAATGACGCACTATCACATGAGACCCAAGATTGCAGTCTAAATATCCCAAGTCGATTGCGTCAGAGGAGGGTATAAAATACAAAAGTAGTAGACTTAAATCTGTGACAACTTCTGCTTGGCGTAGCAATCACATTTCCGTTCAGATGAATGAATGGCAATTGCATCAGACTATATTACAGATTATTTAGGTTTTCCAATTAATGCTGTTAAAAAATATAAAGCCTCAAAATAACTCTAAAATTGATTTTTTCTAAATATAGTTCACATTTTTACAAAACACTTTATAAAAGTTATTTCTATTTCTGTTAAAAACAAGATAACCAACTAATATGTGAGCAAATATTTATTAATTGATAGGGGAATTGCGGTAGGTTGAAATAAGTGCCCACTACCATTATCGTGCACTTTCCGCAAATTAGCCCATAAAAGAGGGACTTCAGATCGAAAAGCTATAGCTATGAGTAATTTTAGTTTACACATAAATGAGCCGTTAGCTTCTTGAATCTTCCATTGTCACATCGGTTTTTATTTCAAGATTCTAGGGGAAGACTAACTGAAATAACCAAACGTGCCTCAAAGAAGGTCTCAATTTTGGTTTATCAATGTTAAGACTATCCGATGATCTAAACATCATATTTTTAAAAACTTTACACTGCTTTAAAAAAAATACAAAGCTCCAAAACTTAAAAGAGAAAAAAAGCAATCGATTATAATATTTATTAAATATATCTTGAATACCTTTCAGTTTTGAATAACAATTCTAAATTGCTTTCCCATGCAGCTTTAATTTAATGACTGCCTGAAATTGTATTGTTTCAATTTGATTGAAACCCATTTGAATGCATATAGGCAAAATGGCTACCAGAAATTTCTGGAAAATTCCGGTCATTTCGAAATGCTCAAATTCGAATGGAATGACATAGTATTTGGGGTGTCATTTATGATAATGGTTCCCCCGGGAAAACACCTGTTTAGATTTTGCTTTATTACCCAATCCCACAAATTGCAAACTACTTTTTGTTTTTTGCTGTTGCTGCTGCTCTCAAGCATTTTCCAACCGTTTCGTCATTTTACAAAAGTTTTCCCCGCGTTTCTCGCCTTTCATTTTCCGCCTCTTATCGATCAAATTCACTGGGCGCCGAGGTTTCAGCCAATGCAACAGCTGTTTCGTGGGGTTTTGTGGGGTCTGGGGGGTTTGACTGGGCGGCAAAGGGGGTGGCACGCAATCAAAAGACACTCATTCACGAGTGGAAATTTCCATTGCAATTTTTCGTGTAATTGAAGCGGCTTCCCTTAACCCTTTTTGCCCCTTTTTTAAATTCATTTTGATAATTGAAACTAAAATGTAATGACATAACCAGTTGGGAATTCTAGTATTCTGTATTTACTCAATTGAAAGTAATGTAAGAAACATTTTTTAAATTATAAATATGAAATAAATAAGGATCGTTTTGAAATGGGTATAAAAGTATAATTTTGTAGAAAAGCATATGTTAAACACAGCGTTACACTTAGATTTGCCGAGGCTAATTGATCAGTTGGGGTTTTCTGATTTTCACTTTTTCGGCCCACCCGATTGCCAGCGCACCAGAACGACCCCCGCGGGCATGCATGGGTTTAATTGCACTGCTCCCCTCTCCCTCGCACCTTCGCCCCCTCCCGCTCCCACCCGCTTTTTGTGATTTTCGTTAATGCTAATGGCATGTGGATGAGCGAACGGGTGCACAGTGGGTGTAATAGAGGCATAATTGTTTATGCTCTTTCAAGTATGAAGAAAACAAAGCATTTGTTTAACATTTTAAGAGTCATAAACACGGAATTGAGCTTAACAAAATATTTCTTGGTTTCTTTTTTATAAAATATGTTTATTTAAATGTACTTCATTTGAACAAAAATGTATTTATTTTTTCTGATCTATGTTCTTAGTTAGAATGTTTGGCCAAATTTGTGATTTTGGCCCACTGTGCGCCAACGAAGTGACTGACTGACTGTCTGACTCACTCGCTCTCGCACTCACCTGCCTTACTCACCTACTCACGCTCTCTTCTTCGCTTGCCCTCTCCACCATACATATATTGTCCTCTCCCTCGCACACGAAAGTGCAGTGGCATCGACCGTTGATTTCGCTTTGTTGTCGCAAATTGTTCGCTTTATGCTGATTGTTATTGTTTTTTCCTCTTTTCCTTTTTTTCGGTGTAAAGAAGAAAAAAGGAGAGTCCAAAAGAGGATTGCATGTCAGGCTTAACTTTTATTTTAATGGGTTTTCTTTCGCATAAAATTATGTACAGAACACAGCTAAAAAAAATGTGTAAGAGTATTAAAAAGCTAACTTCGAAAACCGAAGACTCTAATACCCTTTGAAACTCTTTAAATTGCAAGTTTAAATCGAATATATATTTTACAAGTCATAATTTTATTTTGAGATATGAAAGACGACTCTATCAAATTTTAAAACATTGTAAAAGTAAAAAAAAAAGTTTCTTAAATATTATAGTTTTCTACCAGAAAAATCAGAGACCTCATTCCGAACTCGACTTTCGATTGAATATGGGCTCTTTTCCCAAGGGTACTTAAACACGCAATATTATGGGGAATAAATTAAGAGCGAAGGTCTGCACTGTGCACTGTGTTGAACCCTTTTCTCAAGGACCTTTGAACTACGACTACGAACGATTGACCACCACCGTTTCGACGGACTGCATTTCCCGGGTCCCGGAATTGGCACTACCATTTTGGTTGCCATTTTGGGTGGTAGTACCATTACCGTTTTGGGTTGGACCTTGATTTTGATTTTGATTTTGGTTGGTTGCAGGTGGAGGTGGTGGCTCCAATGGCGGCAGACCCACCAGCTTTTCACTTTCCCGCCATAACCAGTCGGCGGTCTCCATATTCCGAGCCCAGGGAACCAGGGGCCAGCGCATGCAGTCCGAGTAGTAGCCCCCCGTCGAGGTCTCCAACTGGGGATCCAGCGCCAGTCTCAGCGAGGTTTGGGCCCCCGCCTTGGGGGTCTTGAAGAAGTACAGGGATCCCGTCTGCAGGACGCTCTTCATCCATCCGGGACCCGAAAAATGGCGATTCAGCTCGGTGCGCACCACGCCCGGGTGACAACAGTTCACCGTCACGCCCGAATTCTTCAGGATCGTGCTCAACTTGCGGGTAAACATGATATTGGCCAACTTCGATTGACTGTAGGCGCCGAAGAACTTGCCATACTTCTTCTCGCTCATCAGATCCTCCCGGTTAATCCTACCAAATAGATGGGCAGCCGAGCTGACCACCACAATTCGACTGGGCGAACTGTGCTTCAGGCGATCCAATAGCAAGTTGGTCAGCAGGAAATGCCCCAGGTGATTCACCCCGAACTGCTGCTCGTAGCCATCGGCCGTTAGGGTTCGCGGGCAGGCCATTATGCCGGCATTATTTATCAGCAGATCCAATCGCGACTCCTCGGCCTTGAAGCGCTCCACGAAATTCCTCACCGACTGCAGGGAGCCCAGATCCAGGGTGCGATTGAAGAGCTGTTGGTTGTGACTGCGATCCATGATCTCCAGGCGGGCAGCCTCGCAGCGACCGGCATCCCGACAGGCCATATAGACGCGGGCACCTCTCTTGGCCAACTCGAGGACCGTCTCCTTGCCAATGCCCGTATTGCAACCGGTGACGATCACCACCTTGCCATCGATTCGATTGGCCTTTCGGTAGGCCGGTCCCTGGATGCACTTGCGCAGCAGCCACATGAAGATCGCGATGCCGAGGACTATCAGAAGAATCAGCACTGCCCAGGCCCAGAAGCCACGGAAGCACAGGGTTTTCTCGGCCGACTCGGCGATGGGATCGAAGCCAGGCGGGAATACTGATCCTGATCCTGGTACTGATCCTGGCGGCGTGGCAGCCTCCGACATAGCTAGCTAAACGATCAAATCAATAATGATTCGATAGTGATTCGATGATGATTCGATCGTGATTCTCTCTGGCTTTTGTGGCGCACTGGTTCAAATTCTACAAAAGAGTGAGAGAAGAGAAAAGAAAGTTAATATTATGGCTTACTCCAAAAGGGATGGGGTACAAAAGAAATAATTCCAGAGAGAAGATCTCAAGATCTCAAGAGGGGAGTGACCAAGTTGAAGGCCCCGCTGACCCCGAAATCTCGAGTGGTTTTGCACCTGAACAACTGGTTTCTCGTAATTCACTTAAATTGCTCGCTGCATCGCGCTTCTAGCAAATCATTTTCGTTTTAAAACCCATTAAATTTTATGGCATTACAATGCTGTCTAGATTCAACAATCAAGCATTTTAAAATGGCTCAATAAAATATAGAATTGTGATTATTATACATTGGAAACAGGTCCACAACTAGCTTTAATTACAATTTAATTTAAAAATCATTCCAAGCTTGTTTGTATTCAATTAAACGATTGTTAGCACAATACTACAAATATGTAAGTGGGAACCAAATTTTATTTTATTGAACAACTAAGCTTGACTAAAAACAATTTTTCTAATAATGACCGGTCAATCTTGATCTTTTAATCTCTGAATATTTAAGAGAATTAATAAATAAAAAAATAGATATAATTGAATTAAAGGAATGTTCGTAAGTCGGTCAACGCTCAAGCTTAAGAACTTTCTCTATGGTAATGGAATTAACACCTGAACTTTTACTTATTAAACGTAGCCAAAATTATATTGATTTATCGATATAAAGTTTACAATGACATTGAATTTACGAGTTTTTCACCAAACAGATTGTATTTATAATCAATCTGAAACTGTTGTGATAAACATCCTGAAAACCGCCGACTTTCATTGACAATTTTGACATTCTATCAATGTGAATTACTCAACTTTCTTTTGTCGGCCAAAAAAGACTTACCAATTTGATGTGGTTGCCTCGATATTACCACACGAAAAACTTTTGGATGTCAGGTGGTGATTTCGCACATTTCCCAGGGTTCGGCTCACTATATATTTACTCGATCAGTTAGTGCGAACGATCTGAATCTCAATCTCTAGTTACTGAGCCACTGGACTACTACTGTCTGTGTGTCTAAGCCTCTCGCGCGATCTTGGCCAACTGACTTGCCGTGGAGTCCAATTGCTTCGACTTCCAGTGGTTCCGAGCCGTGTTAACGCGTCAGAAATAACCTGAAAAAAAATTATTTCGAGGCGTCATGCTGCCGTCATTAACATGCTGCCTCGGCCTCAGTCTCTGCCGCTGTTGCATATGCACTAGAGTGGACCTTTCTAAACATTTAGGATAATATGGTATAGTTTTGTAGCCCATATACATATATTACTAATACATTTTTTAATTAAATTTATTAATTGTTAAAGAAAAAGGAAATTATCACTCATACGCAGTGTTGACGCTAAGTTTTTATATAATGTTGGCATAGATTTTAATACTCTCATTTACTCAATGGTCTTAAAATTTAATTTTTAAATTTAATTATGTATTTTAAATGTGATTTTGAAGTGATATGTATTAATTGGGCTCACTAGGCGTATGAGTAATTTCTTTGGTATCTTATTTTATTACATATACATTTATTATAGGTGTATTGCTATAGAGAAAATGTATTTATTTTAATTATAACTGTATCTTAATAGCAATGCCGCCGTTAAATTTAATAATTTTAAAGTGATCTTACGGCAAATACGTTCTGCCTATCAAGGTCCACCCTAAATAGTTACAGTGGTTCTCAGTCGGCGTCGCTGCTTGTTGTTTTTGTTTTTGTGGCCAGCATACCAAAGAAGAGCAGCTTGGCTTCAATTTCATTTCTTACCAATTTGCCGCTTGTCCTCTCTTTCTCCCCCTCCCTCTGTCTATCCCCTTCTGTTTTTGTGTTCGACTTTCACTTCCAACGTTGTTTTTTTCTCTTTTCCCTCGGCTCGTTTGTTTTGCTCACTCGTTCTTTGAGCCGCGCTCGCTTCGATGCCTTTTGCTGTCTCCTCCGCTTCGTCTATTGCTCTGCGTTGGTATTCCAATTCGTAGCACGTTTTAGTTTTTAAGTCGATTTTGTACACAGAAAGAATATCATGTGAAGATCAAGTTATTTTATATATAAAATTTTCAATGGATTTAAAAAAAAATAGGTAAATAATAAAAATAAATTGTTATAAATTGTTATTTATATATTTTAAAATTAATTTAATGAATTTAGATACTTTTTTTCTGTGTAAAAGAGACAACATTCCAGTCACCTGATGACTATTTTCAGGGGGGTTGGTGATCACTGACCCCGCCTTAAAGCCAAGGCCAAGACTTTGTAAAATTCATTTTTACCTGGACAATTATATTTTGCACTTAAAAGCCGCACTTTGACTGCAATAAAGTGGAACAACGAAAACGCCGGAAAGTCAAGTCCCACATGAAAATTACAGCATGATGGAAATCAATAAATGCCGTTAATCGAAGGCAGGCCGTGAGTTGAATGTCCTTGACACAGGCCAAAAGCCAAGTCGCAGGGGTCACGGGACCAAAGCCGGCTTACGTTTTCCTTGTTTTCCCAGCTTTTCAGCATTTTCACCATTTTCAGCTACGTGCTGCTCTACACGTTCCGAAAAAGAAGAAAAAGAGAAAAGAGAGCACGAGAGTGAGGAAAGCGAAAAAAGGAGGCCAGGAAGGCAGGAATGATGAGAGAGTAGGATAGCGGGAGTGATATGGGTGTAGATTAAAAACCGTACCAGGGGGTTCAAAATAATACCAAAGAAACATCACTCACTTGTTTTTTTATTTTCAAAATAAGTTTATATCTATTTGTTTTTAAGGAAACACTGTATTTTCTGAGAGACCTGCCCGTCTTCCCTAATATAGCACAGTGAATATTTACGTACTTAAGTTAATCTTCTTTTTATAGACAATCTCGTTTTATAGCTTAATCCACAGTTCTTATCTGCTGCAAAAGCTTCATCCACAAATTAGATTCCACACAAGTTTGACCTTTTTGAAAATGATACACTGCATCGTTTTACACCCATAAACACAAGAATAAAACTCGTTAATTTAATTATTTGACAAGTTTTGTCAATATATGATAATTAAATGAGTGCACGGCCAAAATGAAATTGTGTCCACTAAAACATGCACTTTCGTTTTGCCATAATTAAATGACTGTAATGAAGTTTGTCAGAAGTTGGCAAAGGGGGGAGGTGAGCAGCCCCCCTTTTTTCACCCTACTCTACGCTTATGGCGAGAGAGCAGCAAAGAGTAAATGTCACTGCGTTTAGGGAGAGAGAGCGCGAGAGAGAGAGGCGAACTTTGACTAGGTCAGGTCCTTTTCGCGTCCTTTTCCTCTCCTTCTGCCCGCCATTCGCGTTGTTTAATCGATGAGAGGAGAAGAGAAAGCTGCGCCCTTTTACACCCTGACACGCCCCCCTTTGCACCGAACACAGAACACCTCCCACCACCCACCGGCCCCCGTAATCCTTGCTCTCTCATTCGCCGTCTCTTTCCTGTGAGTTTTTGGGAATTTTCCACTGACAATGCAGATGGGCGATTTTTTTGGGGGTCTGTTCTATTGAGAACATTAATTCAATCCGTGATTAGGTCTCTGTATTTCAATCAATCCCTTAAAGAAGTAAAAGAAAAATGTTAAAATGGTGTTTTGATTATATCTAAAATTGAAATTAACTAGTTTATTATTTCTTTCTTATATATGTATGTACGATTCGCACGTTACGTTTATCCTCTTTGGTTACACTTAAGTGCGCTTATCTCTTTTTCCACATTCCGTCCGTTTTGCTGTCGTCAGTTGGTCGCTAATTCCGCCCACCCCAAAGCACAAACCTCAACTCACCCTTGACCCCTGGCACCGGGATAAGCCTCAAACCTGGTCCTCCGTTGCCCCCAACGCCCCCCGTCAATCGCGGTGACGTCAATAGAATTCGGGGGGTTATGCAACCTCACCTTGATCTTGGGCTAAACAACAGATCGGGGTAAACAATCGGGGACTGCCAAAAAAGATTAGCAGACGAAACGTAAACAACAACTAGCAACGCAACTGTACCCATGAGATTTTGGATATTTTCCTTGGAAATGCTTTAAATATATTGTTACCAAATGACACATAATTAATATGTTTAGTATATAAAATTCTCTAATCTATTTCCAGTTCGAAAAAGCTAAATTCCGAGAGACTGTAACACTTCTGCAATTTGATAATCACGGAACTGACCAACCGCAAAAACGAAGCTCACGTAATTGAATTATTATTCTTGCTCGAGGCAGGGAAAGGGGTAAGAGGGGGTAAACGGGGGTTAGGCACAAACAAAGCATTTCATTGTTGGCGTCATTGTATCGCAGCCAGAAGAGGATCGAACTGGAAATTGTTCAATAAATGTTCAATTCAGCATCACATTGAATGCGGCACGCGCAAAGCACAAAAAAAAAACAAAATAGAAAAAAAAAACAAAAAATATGGAGTAGGGGCAGCAGGGGGTTAATTCCAATGAAAACCTGTTGCCCGCATAAACATAGAAAACACAATAGTTTGCGCCCCTGCCCCCCTTTTTTTCCACCGCCTGTCACTCGTCCTCAAGTGATTCGTAAATTAGCAAATAGAAAACGGGAAAAAAGAACAAAAAGAGGCGGGTAGAAAAAAACTACCACAGAAAAAAACGGAAATTCTTAAAAAAAAACAACGAGTACCAAACAAAAGAAAAAAAAACAATAAGAACAAGGGCAAAGATTACAAGAATGTTACAATACTACCTAAAATAATTCAAGGACCCTGCTTAGGAATCCGAGTAAATGTAACTGTAAAGATAAAAACAGATTGATATAATGATATAATAATATAGAACCTCTTTCAAAAACATTACAATACCATCTAAAAAGAGATGGAGAGTTCAAAAGTCCCCAAATTTGATCTAAAAATAAAAAGATCCTATTCCAAATATTATCTAGACCTCTAGATTTTTAGACAATGGATCCACAAATATGATCCAAAAGTAAAGATTCTCCTCCAAATACTATCTAAGCCTCTAGATTTGCAGATCCCCAAACCCGAGAAATATCTAAGTTGTTGTTGTTTTCACGATATGTCGAGTGAGTTGTTTATGCTGACAATGGAGAAAACAAGAAAATAACTGCGAAGGGGGCAAATGCAATGGGTAGGAAGAGATATATAGATGCAGTATTCGATTGACATTGGCAAAAGGAATTGCACAACCACAGACCAACAACAATGGTGATATAACCGATGACAGTGCATGGGGGCATCTCATCTCGCCTTACATATGTACAATATATGATGTATGTATGCACATACTTATTGCATCGAAATCTCAAACACATGATATTACATAATCATTCCATCAAACCCAAAACCGAAGAAGGGCTATTAAATCGTCTAGTTGACATTTATGAATGCATAACATTAGTTTATCTGCGCTATTTACGATGATATCTAGATGGCTAACTGCGTATCGGCTTTTGTAGAGGCGTGTGAACTTGAAAATCTGTCAGTTAGCCAACTCGAACCGGTTTCAGAGACCGCCGGAATATCATAAAAGATAAGAACTGACTCTGCAAAAAAGCGGGGGATAAACAAAGATAAGGGAACCAAGCAATAGAAATCCTACGATTCCAAACTGATGGGATCTCTAAAGATGATATACTTTTATTATCTGATATCATAAATTATTTTAATAGCTATTGGATATAAATTGTAAAAATAATGATTTAAACCTAAAGGATCTATTGCAGTTTCAATACATCTTCAAAAACTGAAGTCATAAAACCCTGGTATTATTATTTTCGCAGAGATACTTAATAATATTTATTCAAGCGCAACTGTGTTTGCATTTATCTGTTGCCATTACGGTTTCAATTATAGTTATATTTAGTTACGATTGGACGGGGACAGCTGTTCATTACACGTATGCCCTGTTTAGCATGCTAAAATTTCGATTTATTTCCGCTAATTTGCTGCATGCGCAAAATCGCAACAAATCAAAATTGAAAAAATCGTCAACGCCTCGAAATTGAAAGAGATCGACTGACTCACACATAAAAATGCCAATGAGTAAAGTCCGCTTTTTGAATTTCTTTGCTCGATCGACTTTTGATTTATTCCTCAATTGAAATTGAATGTTAGAATTTTTCTAGGTTCGCCTAGTTTTAAAATGTGTGCCACAGTGGATCCCCACAAGTCCCCCGGTGAAAAAGCATCCCTTTGTTCCCCAACCGATTTTAACAATATATGACACACACGCCAAATTGTTTCAGGCAATTCAATTCAATTCGCTGCTGCGTCCAAAGGTCAAGGTTGCTCCACTGCCATGACGCTCTTGATTCGGGTATACGAGATTGGGTGTGAACCATGCCAGAAGATACTTTGTGTCCATGCCACTGCGCCACTGCAGTCGTAAAAGTAAAGCCCCCAGTTGGCTTTCGGCTCGTTTTGACTTTGGGGGTAAAATAAAGTCCCGTTCAATGTATGCTTCATGATTGGGAATATTTAGGAGGGGTTAACTTAATTGAGTTTTTCTTATTACCCAACTACTTTTAAACTATGTGCTTTATTAGCCAATAACTTTAAAACCAAATGAAGACTTACGAAACAGAACAAATAAGTTTTGGATTTTATTTCCGAACTTCATGGCTCAGTTGATTAGTTTGTCATATGAATGTTTTTCAAAAATTTTCAATTTATTGATTTAAGTAAATAAATTTAAAGATGAATTTCAATATTATTATAGTACTGTCATAAAGTATTCAAAATATATTATCATTGGGACGAAGTTTTAATTATGTTTTTAAATATTATTGGTGATCGAGTACTCACAAGTTTTTTAAAGCTTTATCTTAAAAAATATATAAACTATATTATAACCGTTTCTTTGCGAGGGATCACTGTACTCTTATATCTTTCTTCTGCTTTTGCCTTTCTTCGCTTTGCGCTTCTTCTGCTTCCGCATGCCTCAATTCCCATGAAGAGTAGCGTGCGCGAGGGAGAGGCAAAGGGCGGATGAGCGGGATGGCGAGAGTGGGTCTAATTGCGGCCGAATTGGGGGCTTCCCCTCCCCCACGAAACGCATTTTCTGCGCACTTGGCTGCAGCTGCAATTTCTCTCTCTCTTTCTCTCACTTTCTCTCCCACTCTCTCTCCCCCTGCTGACATTTAAATGTTTTCGCGTGCAAATAAAATTACATAGTCTTTGGTTTTTTTTTCCATATACTTTTTGTTACTTTTTATTTATTTGTTGGTTTTTTGTCAGAGTTTTTTAGTTTTTCGTTTGCCGTGTATGTTTGTGTAATTACAAAATTACTAGCTATGAAAAAAAAACGAATAACATTAATTTGTTGCTTAAAAGTAGCTGTCGTCTAGGTACAATTTTGTATATATATATATATGTATATCTTTTAATACAAGTATATGTGTGTGTATATGTTATACGATATAATATTAAGTCTGTTTTCAGCTGCTTCGTTTTTTCGCATTTTTATTTTTTATTTTTAGTTTTGTGTTTTTATTTTGTTCACAATGCTTTTAAACGTATATTGTCAATTGCGTTTCGTTTTTATGCAATTACAAAATGAAGGGGTAAAAATCCGTGGTACTTTTTCTAGTTAGTTTGTTATTTTGTCAAGTGTTTTGTCTTGTTTTTTCTTTGTTTTTGGGTTGTTGTTGCTGATGTGGTCTTCGTTATACAATGCAATTGGCAGTTGCAATTTCTGTTTTCCTCTTGTCGCGAAACCGCAGTTACAAAATAAGAAAGGTTATTTATTTTTGGAGAGGGTTTTGGTTGTTTTTGGGACAGGTTCTATGTTCTATTTTCTATATTTGGAAGCCTGGCATACATAATATACATATAATTAATGTAATCATACATTTGGGACATTTTTATGTAGGTATTTTTTTTTATACATATAGTTAAATAGTTTGCATATGTACACCGAAATTTTTATAGATAATGTGAAATATGCTCAAACAAATTTGCACCAACAACTTGTCAACTTTTCTGTTTCCCGCCAATAACTAGGTTAAGTGACTTTTTGTGACCCCCCTTTTGGCTACGCCGCTGCACTCTCTCTCTCTCTCGCTCTGTGTAACTCCCCTCACTTCCTGTCTAGTCTGCTATCTCTCTCGCACCGACCAAGTTTATAGCTGGCCATCTCTTTCTCATCCTGGTGACGAAGTGCATCGCCGCAGTCGCATCTTTAGCCGGCTGCTGGCGCTTCCAATGCTGCTGCTGCGCCGACGCCGGCCGCGACTGCGACTGCTGCTCCTGCTGCCGGTCAGTTGCTCCATGGAGCTCATCTCCTCTCCCTCTGCCTCGTCCTCCGGCGACGCCGACGTCGCTGCTCCGTGAGAGGCGGCCAGGAATTTACAGTAGCGCCGGAAGCGTCGCCCCAACCGATTGACCATGCCTCTCTCTCTGCCTCTCTCTTCCCTGCTCTCACTCATGGAAGTCGGTGGTCGCGCTCCTTTCTTCCAGGAAGTAGCTCTCTGTGGCTGCTCTTTGCTCTCTTCCTCCTCAGTAGCTGCACTGCTCTCACCCGCATGGCGGCCAGGTGATCTTCCTCTGGAAATCGAGGATAGATCCCCGCTAGCCTCGTCTCTTTCTCTTTCACTATTGTTGTTGTTGCTAATGGAAAGGAGCGCCATGCTGCTGCTGCTGGCATTGTTGTTGTCGAAGTTGTTGTTGCTTTTGCTGTTGCTGTTGCTGCTATTGTGATTTTGACTTTGATTTTGATTGTGTTTGTGATGATCTCATGACCGTTTACCGCTATCCTTGCGAAAGGACTTGCGCAGCTTGTCGACCAAACGGAGATGGAATTTCGTATAGTCATTGGAAGTTTCACCATTTCCAGTTCCCTGTTGCTGCTGCTTCTGATTAATGGCCGCCGCCTGGGCGGCCGCCTGCCTTTCCAGGGCCGAAGCGGTATGCGAGCGGCTGGGCGGACTACTGCGCGTGGGCGACACAATTTGTTGCATGGAGCCGCCGTGCGAGCTGCGCGACGCGTTGCGCGGAAAGGCCCGCGAACTGTGGCAGCGCTGCATTTGCATCCTCTGGTGGGTGGCGGACGCAACGCCCAGTTGCCCGTGTGACGGTGAGGTGGCGAAACTCTCCGACTTGCATTCGGACACCTTGCGACGCCGCTGGCTCTGCTGTTGCTGTTGTTGTCCCTGGGCGGGCGTTCCAAGAGCGGTGGCCAATGTCGTTGTACCGTTACTACTCGCATTCGAACATTCCGACGTTTTGCGGGAACGCGTGTCCTTGTAAATATCGTAATTGTTCTTCATCACGGGCATCATGAACGCCATTTCGAAGTCTCGATCACTTTTTTCGGCTCTCTCTTTCGATCTCGAAAATCGGAAAATCTCTAGCTCTCTCTCTCGAAAAACACACAAAACAAAAAGAAATAAACGGTTGTTTTCGTTTTCGTTTTCGCTGGTTTTGTTTTGGTTTTCTTGTTTGTTTCGTTCTTCACTTTTTTTTCTTAGTTGGTTTGTGGGGGAGAATCTTAATGTGCGCGTACACCTTCACCGTTCGATGGCTCCGTTCGTTTTGAGGCCGTCCCGCTTTGGCCGCCTCTACTTATACGCTGACCGGCAGGCGGGAGAGTACACTGTGAGAAATCATGCATTAATTGAAGTCACTCATACGCACTGTTGTACGTCGCAAAACTGTTTTTACTTTAAATCAGTCAAGTTGAAATAATAACAATTATTTGTATTTTCGGATCAATTAAATACAGTTCAAAGTAATTATTGGTCCCTTGATTTAAGTCGGTTTCAAAAGGCCTTACAAATATATCACCCATACGCCCTGTTGGACACTTGACTCATTAAACATTGAACACACATAAACACAATCATGTCTTGTTATGCTTTTTTAAAAATATTTTATTATATTCAAGAAATTTAAAAATAAGGATATGTAATAATAAGAATATGTAAACTATAATATTGCTATTAAAAAGGTTATTTATATTATTATCATTTATTGTATTATTAAAAATAAAAACCTTGTTGCACCTACAACCTGCCTTGACAATTTCTCTAAGTGTATGGATGGTGCTCTCACTCTCCAACGAAAAAAGAGAGCGCGCATGCGCAGAGAACAGCGCTCAGTGCAACACGTTTACACGTGTCGCCAAAACGTGATAAGGGTAAAGTAATAAATATTACAAAATAACGTGAATAAGTAAGAAACTATTTTGTATAAATGTTTTTTTTTTAATAAAAACTCTCTATAAATAGTACGCTTACCATTAACTTAGCAGGAAGTGCAGATCCATAAAAAGAAGTCGTCAGCATTTGACGTGCAAAATCGGTATCTGAAATCGTAAAGCTGCCTTACGGCTAAGCCCTATATGCATTTTAAATAGCTGTAATCATGATCGATTGCCAACGGTGGGCTGTTTAAGCCCCAGATTGTGATAAGAGTCCAATTCTCATGTCCAAAAGTCGCATGCTAACGTGCGCGGTTCGATAAACCCCGATGATATCCGAAATGAGGCCCAAGATAAAAAGGCACACAGATTGTTTAAATATGTTGTTTGTCACTTTAATGAATAGTTTTCAATTAATTTTCTGTCAGCTCTTCATTCTTAATCATCATTTTCGCCTATATGAAATCGTTAAATAATGAAAGTGCATACATATATATTTATTAATTTATTTCCTTTTGCTCAAAACCATCTGGCTTTTCATTTTTGGTAACAATTTTTTCATATTCCATTTCTTATTTAAACGCTCAACTCTTTCATCTTTCTTTTTTGAAATGTAAATGCATTTTTTAACAACAATTTTTCGTGGTTTCTCTAAGTTATACAAAAAAAGTGTATCCGAAAACGATTAGAAAAGTATAGAGAACAAGATTCGGAAACTGGAACGCAACTTATGTTTAAATGCATATACATATAGACTTGTATATATATGAATATATATATATATTTATCCTCACATAAATGTATTGTGGAAATTATTGTACAATTTGTTAAGATCTTGCTTGAATTCGTCATTACGTCTATATATCGTATATGTCTCGAGTGCATTTTGTGCTTCACCGCTTTTGCTACTAAAAAAAAATACAAAAAAGGTTTCCATTACGTTTTTACCTTATTGGGACTACGCTTATGGGGGGGCACTGAAATTCTTTCGATAAACTGGTAAAGTTCTCTGATTCAAGCTCCCAATTATTCTGACCATTTGCATTGCACATTTTCAATGTACACTCAAAAAAAAATTTTAGAAAATCGCCTATGGATTTGCTTTACTGGCGATTTTTTTCTATATTTCTGGAATATTTCTTGAATTTAATGACTTTTGATTAATTGGAAGAAAATTTTCTTTACCAGTAGAAAATTTTTTTATTTTAAAGAAAAAAATCGCCAGTGAAGCAAATCCATAGGCGATTTTCTAAAATTCAGGGCGATTCATTTTCTGAGTGTAGTTTATGTATTGTATAATTTACCTATATGTTTTTCCTTAAGTTGCATTAATATTAATTTAAATTTTATTTGCTTGATTTTGCTTCAATTCAATGAATGTCCGTTGTCCGCTAAGTTCAATAAAGTATTTAGGAATTTCAAAGGCTAGCTAGGTAGTGTTTTTTTACTTCGTATGATAGTAAGTGAGGGAAAACATCTTTCGGCTAAGCTAGTTTATAGGTCGTATTCGTATCGTGATTTCTTGGGGCGCATAAACCGGGGTCGGGGTCACCAAACAGGTTACCCCCGAAAAAACTAAAAACGAAAAGCAAAAAAGGAACTTCTCCTATGGCAAGTGTGTGTGTGCTGGCAGTTTGTTGGCTTTATAGTAATATTCATGTATATATAATAAACTCATTTTAAAGTTCACAAACTTTTGGCGGAAAAAAAATGCCAAAAACCCTTTGTATCGAATACTGTTCTCTAGTTTAGACTTATGTATTTACAACACGCCCGGCAAAATCGGGGCTGACTAACTAACTAACGCTTCGAATTCGAACTCAACTAAACTAAAGGCTATGCATCAGGCTACTTTTTGTGTTTTTTTTGCTTTGTTTGACTTTGATCAACTGAAAACGATTACAACTCGTTTCATAGATCGTTCAGTGTGTTTCATCGTAAGAGATCCTAGAGATATGGGTCGAAATCGCGAAGGTGGTGTTACAGAGAGTTATATCTATTTATAGATCTCCAAAACACACACACTCACACACACACAAACGGGCACAGACGACGATATACAAATGTATATATATGTCAAGATTGGAGTGACTAAGCCTAGGGACTCTGGATTCTGGATTCCGGACTCCGGAGCTAGTTAACAAACTACACACAAATACACCGACTTACAGCTAGAGAATCCGATCGGATGTCCAACACTTTATCTGAGATCACATATAGTAAAAATTGCCAGCGAAAAGTCAGGATTGCTATATATGTATGTAGAGTGAGTGTTTGTAATTGTTGCTATCAAAAAAATTACCCTAACCATGTACATTCATGAGCTAAATATGTATCGTATGTTCCGAGTATCGTATGCATATTATCGTATGTGGTTTTAAAGTATATTTCTTTTGTTTTGTATATAGAGTTTCCATATAGCGTTTACGTCTTGTTTTGTTTATTTTTCTTTAGCTACGAGTAATCGAGTCGAAAGGTAATACGCATCATTGTCTAGCGATCATTGTCCCTCGGCCTCTGAACGTTTAACAACCACTCTGCTTGAGGTACATTAAGGATATAGGCCAGGAGGCCCTTAGTTTAGTGACTCGACTTACATAGAGATAGATTACCGGCTTAGCTACCCTGAAGATCTATATAAAGAACCGATCCAGTCCGAGAATCGAAATGAGACTGCTTACTTTCTGTCGGGGAACCGACGATTCCGAGGACTTGATCCGTCATCCCGACGAGGAAACTCCTCGTGTTGAGTCTAGAAATTATGTGTTGGTTAATAAATAGGATTGCAACTTAAACTGCAAAAGACTCGGAAATAAAACCGCTCTCTCTCTCAACTTAATCTCAAAAAAGAGAGAATTTGAGGGTATTTTCTCCTTGAAATCGAGAGAATGATTTTTTTCCGTTCTCAATATTTTTGTGGGTGCACCTACCCTGGGATTGGAGATGCCCTTGCCAGAGTGACGCACCAGTGGCACCTGTTCCTCGTCCCCGTAAATCCTGAGGGATCGAAAGGTATGAAATAAAAGAGAGAGACTCTACACTGTGGACTGCACTCACCTGCCCTCCGTCGAGGTGTCGGGTTCGAGCAGCGGCAACATGTCCTCGCCCTGCTGCAGTATCTCCACGGAGGCCAGGGACTCGCTGCCCGTTCCGGTTCCCGTGCCAGTGCCCGTCTCCGTGCTGGTATCTCCGCCGGCTCCTGCCGTTCCCGTCGTTCCAATCGACGACTCGCCGCGCTCCGCCTCGTGGCACTCGCACTGGCAGTCCTCCGGCTTCACGTAGTTGTAGTGCAGCTTGTCGCCGCCCTCGGCATTCGCCTTCGATCCCAGCTGCTGATGATGGTGATGGTGGCCGGAGCGGTGGTGACCACTGCCGCAGGCGGCGGCGGAGGAGGCGGTGGTGGCCGTGGCGGCCACACTGCTCGTCAGCGTCTCCTTGGGCAGCGTGGTGATCCGCTTGGCGGGCTTCCGCTTCTCGGGTATGTTCTCGAAATCGATCCAATGGCCGGAGAGCTTTCGCTGGGTGGATGCCTTCGGCTTGGGCTCCTCCAGATTCGAGGCAGCAGGCGGCGGCGGCGGAGGTGGCGTGACCACCGGGAGCAGCTGCTTGCCGGAGTCCTTGCGCTCCAGATTGTTGTTGCCACGCAAACCCTCTTCGGCGAACTCGAACCAGGATTTGCCACTGGTGTTGGAGACGCGACGCGGCGACTTGGAGTTCTGGATGCGCTCCTTGCCGATGGACTCCTTACGCGGCAGGCTGATCCGCAGCTTCTCGCCGCGCACCGGAGCCACGCAGCCTGGTGCATCGATCTCCTGCGGCTGCACCTCCTGCGGCGTCATTATGCCCGTGCAGTACTCCTCGAGATGCGAGGGATTCAGCGGCGTTGTGGATCGCGGCCTGTCCACCGGACAGGTCTTCAGCTCCATATTGGCCCGCTCGCGCATCGGGATGATGGGCACGCCCTGGGCCCGCTCCTCGGGCAGCGTGGTGGGTATGTAGGGCAGCTCGTCCTCGAAGGACTCTTGGGACACCAGGCCGGTGCTCTCGTGCTCCTCGATGACGCACACGTTGCGCGGAAAGTTGTGGTGCCGCCGCCCGGCCTCTCCGCCCGCCGGCACTGCCGTGGTCACCGACGAGCTGCCGGCCATGTCCGAGTCCCTTTCGCTCTCCGACGACTCGATGGGCTCGTGCTCGTCCGTGGACTGCGAGTGACGACGTTCCGGCGGCGGCGGCGTGGCATTCGGCGGAGTGGTGGAGGTCAGAGGATCGTGCATTGGCATGGGTTGATCCCTGTGGGAAGGTGGCTCCCTGGGTGACTCCTTCAAGGCGGCGGAGGTGGAAGCTTGAGCGGTGCCGGCGGCGGGTGGAGAGGTCACTGCAGGAACTCCAGTGGTTGGAGTGGTGGCTGCGCTCGGTGGCTGCTTGGCTGGACCCACTGGACCCAGGGGCGTGGGCGTGGGTGTGGGAGTGGTGGGCGTGGCTGTGCCAGAACTATAGCTTGCGGTCTCACCTAAAAGGTAAAAGGAGTTTCACCAATTAGAAGGAAATACATAATAAAGACACAAATCTCCAGAGATTAATAAGCATCATAGAAGATTTCATCATAAAAGATTCGAAATCACAGGTTTAGAATCATCGTAAATGATTTGAGAGACTTTGAATCATCATAAATGATTTGAAATATCTTGTGATAATTTTAACTCTCATTAATGATTTAAATATCCTTGGAGATTTAAAAACATCACAGATGATTTCAGCATAAAAGATTACAAATCATAGGTTTAGAATCATCATAAATGATTTGAAATATTTATTGATGATTTTAACACTCATTAATGATTTGAAATATCTTGTGATGATTTCAACTCTTATTAATGATTTAAAATTTCTTTGGAGATTTAAAAACATCATAGAAGATTTCATCATAAAAGATTCGAAATCACTGGTTTAGAATCATCATAAATGATTTGAAATGTCTATTGATAATGTTAATTCTTATTAACGATTTAAATATCTTTGGAGATTTAAAAACGTCACAGAAGATTTCATAATAAAAGACTCGAAATCACAGGTTTAGAATCATCATAAATTTGAGAGACTTGAAATGATTTGAAATATCCTGTGATGATTTCAACTCGCATCGATGACTCAAAATATCTTTGGAGATCGAAAACCAATGGGTTCATCACTTACGTCTTGATTCCGGGACACTCTGACGCTTCGGCTTGCGGGGAATGGTGACCTGACCACCACCTGGCAGCTCGGCCACTCGTCCCCTCTCCGCCTCCGTGAGATTCTCGTGCAGCTTGCGACGCACATCGAAGTTCTCCAAGTAGCGCGAATGGCGCAGATCCGCCGGAGCAGCTTCGTCCTCCGAACTGGGACGCGATTTGTGCTTGGAACGCATCACCACTCCTGATACTCCTGCTCCTGATCCTCCGCCCTGCTCCTCCTCCGAGCTGCAGACTCCCCGTGGCGGTGGCGGCGGAGGTGCCGAGGTCTCCATCCTCCGGATTACGGTTCCCTGGCGCTGCAACCCATCCGTGGTCGTTGTCTCCGAACCGGAGTGCTCCACCTGCTCCGACAGCTGACTGGATTGGCTCTCCGTCTTGGAGATACTAAACTGGGTGGAGAAGAGCTGCTCCTGGCTGCCGGAACCCAGGCGGGTGGCGAACAGGAGGCGCCTGCGCTCCTTGGCGGCCGCCGTCTCCAGGTCGGGATTGGGATGGGGAGCTGGATTGACGGTGGCCACCGTGTGCACCAGTCTCGGCTCGCAGGCACTCTGCGTGCTCTCCACCGAGGGCAGGCGCTGCTGGGCGAGATTGGCGGCCCTGGCACTGACCACCGAGCCCACGGACTCGGCCGTCGTCTCCTGCGAGTCCTGCGAGCTGTGTCGCTGCACCTCCAGGCTCCAGTTGGTCTGCTCTCCACGCGGCTGCTGGAGCGGCACAGGCGCCTGCTCCTCTCCCGGAGTCATTCCCGGCGGCTCCTCCTGGCTGGGCAGCGATTGGATGGCATCCAGATCGGGCCGCTGGGCCACCTGCCTGCGCTGGGCCACCGGACGCAGTGCAGCCGCCGCCGCCGCCAGCTGGGTGGCCGTGATCTGGGTTCCCGCAGCCTGGGCAGCGGCGGCGGAGGAGCCACGGTGGGTGGGCAGCGGCGAGGGATCCATGCTGGCCTGCGCCGCATGGGTAAGCTGCTGGATGCCCTGGAGAAGGGTTCGAGCTTCGCGCTCCTCCGGCGGCGTATGCAGCGGTATATGTATGACCCCCTCCACGGGCTCGTCGTAGTAGCGTAGACGCGATCCTGGCCGGGAACCGGCTGGAGTGCGAATCCGATTGCCAGCGGCGGAGGAGCCTGGTGCCGGCGGTGGTGGCGGTGGCGCCGTCGGCTCCAAGCTGCTCTCAATGGGCGAGGAGCTCTTGCTGCTCTGACTGCCCCGCTTGCCCGGCTTGAAGATGGCCAGCACGGACTTTTGCTTGCTGGGCGTTACGTTCTGGGAGCCACCTCCTCCGGGGGCACCTCCTGCCGAGGCGGTGGCCGGTCGCTCTTTGCTTTTGCTCCTCGAACGAGCCGTCTCCCTGGGCGAATCCGGTGAGTCCTTGCCCAGGCGGAAGAGGCTACTGAAAGAGCTCTTTCTAGAAACGGATGAACCTGCTCCGCCGCCTCCTCCAGTGGCCGGGGAGGGTGACCTGCTGGTCAGCCGCCTGCCCGGCTTGGGACTCGCCGTGGGCGTCAGGCGGTGCTCCTCGATGCCACCGGTACCCGTTCCCTGGAGACTCAGCGAGGCGGGCTTGGAGTAAACAGGTGCCAGCTGATTGGGCGCCTCCACCACCCGCTCATTGGAGGCGATGCCCTTGTCGCTGTACATGTGATCCGGCCGCAGATTGATCCTTATGTACTCCGTGCCGCTGGCCGTCTTGCCCACCACCATTTGGCCGGGACTCTTGGTGCTCCTTCGCTGTCCGCCAATTGTGGGCTTCACCTTCTCCGCTGCCCTCTGTTCACCATTCGCCGTTGGCTGCCTGCTCCTGCTGCTGCGACTGGGAGCGGAAGCGGTAGCGGGAGCGGGGGGCAGGACCTTGATGCCCTCGGCGAGCACCGCCTGGGTGGGATCATGTTTGCGGGCCAAGAGTAGTTGCTCCAATAGCGCCGCATTGGCTGCCACTGTGCCGGCACCCGGCATTCCATCCGCCTGGCTGTGCGAGGAACTGGCCGCCGTGGAGGCACCACTACCTCCTCCGCCTCCTCCGCCAGCTGAGGACGTGCCCAGCTCGACGGGCTTGGGACCGCAGAACGAGGTCTCCAGGAGCATGCGATGCGGCGAGGGCGAACGGGAGACACCCGATATGGCGGACAGGCGACTCACCGCCGATCCCTGGCTGCCCACGCTCGAGATGCGACTGGTGCGACCCGAGATGCAGAGCAGGGCCGCCACCTCCGAGGAGGCCGAGTCCTTGCGCTGGTGCTGCTGCAGGTAGCTCTGGTGCTCGTCGAACTTGAAGATGTGCGGCGAGGAGCGCTTGGCCTGGAAACAGAGAGTGTGGATAGAGATACACTTCAACACTTGTGTAGCATGATTTATAATGGCCAAGGGAAATTTTAAACCAGACAAAAAAAGGAATTTTCCCGTAAAATCGATATGACCATGACCATTTCATTTACATGAAATACTCTTTCCGACCAGGTCAAATTTACCTGGCCGCATATCAAATTGAAATTGATCTTGAATAATGTAAAATCGATATATCATATCTATTTTTTTTTTTATTTTTTTATTTTGTCAAATTAAAACTAGTATACAATACTAAATTTAATGGAAAAATGGCACTGGAAACTGAAGTCCGTCGGCCGGCTCTATTTTTTTTTTTTTTTTTTTTTTTTTTTGGTGTAGAGTGAAGAAAATATATTACTTGAGAGGCAAGAGTTCTGGGGATCTTGAGTTTAAATTAAACAAGAAATTTCAGTATCTTTATAGAGAAGATAGGACAGAGTTGAAAAGGATTGTGCATAGAAATGTGCTAATGGTAAAATAAGAAATTGTGACCACTACAGAATAAGCAGAATACTTATAAGCTATATTTATCAAATTGAAAGTTACGGAAAGAAGTGCAGTGTATGCATTGAAAGAAGGGGAAATTGAAGCAGTGGACACTGGTCGACTGGTCCACTGGCAATCATGGGATTCCATTCGGCTCCACGTCAATCGCGGCTCTTCAATCTGGACTCACTTCCCGCGGCTGCCAATCAAGCAAGGCAAACAGAGCGAGAGCACAAAGGAAAGCAATTGCGAGTGCCGGTGGAAAGTGGGAAATGGGAAATAGGAAAAGCGGCGAAAAACGAGATAGAATTGCATTTCGGTTGCCATTGGGGAGCAGGACTTCAGATTTTCTCCTCGAACCGCTGCCTAATTAATTAGCTTTGGTTTTTTGTCAGGCTCTCAATATACCATTAGATTTGCTAATTAGGGAGATATTTATACCATCAGATTCTATTACCTGGTTCTTTGGAAAAAAAAGATTTTAAAGGCGGTTGCTTAAAAGTATGCTAAAATATTTCTTTTTAAAGTGCCCTTAAACCCTTTTAGAGATTTCATTCCGGTAATATCGTTGTTATATTTCATATGAAGCGCCCTTCTAATAATTACAGCTTTTCCTGGGGGCCAATTAACGCAGTCACGCGTCCAACTAATCAATTGCAACTTTTTGCAATTAACCAGGAGAATTTCACCCATCCACCCCATCTTGGTTAGTTTTCACTACAGCAATTGATAAGTTACCCAGAGTTACTCATTTCTCCCGGGGAAAAACTGTTCCGGGGGGTACAAAAATAATTCCCACAAACTTTTGCGCCCGAGCGCAGGAATAAACTTTTGCCAAACAATCGCAACTCGGGGGGGAAATTGAGGCTGCAGTGGCGTGGAAAGTGAGCGAAGAGGGGGGTTGAAAAAGGGGGGTCTTTGGGTTTTTCGTCGGGTGGCTACACTTGTCAGCTGTCACTCGGTGCTTACTCGTCCATCCGCCCCGTCCATTTGCCCATTTCCGTTGATTTCACTACTGCTGCTGCACTTCCCAGCCACTCGAATGCAATTTTGCATTATTAATTCAACTTGCGATGCGGTTACTGTCTCCCATCCGGCCAACCCCCCCTTTTGACCCCCTCTGGAACCCCTGGAACCCTTGCCACCCCGTCAATGTCATGCCCATCCGCTTGTTTGATAGGAAATGTCGAAGCAACTTGAAAAAATAACGAGCTTCCTCATTGCAAATGTGCTTAAAAGAAACGGTTTCTTTTCGTAGAGAAGGAAGGGAGGTATTAAACAGACGTTGTAATATCTTTAGAGGTCTTTAGTTGATAACTAAGGGGTCTAGTTAAATGTCGAGTGAACTTCGATAATGTATCATTAAACAATCGAACAATTGGCTGTTATTGCATTTTTTGTGTAATTATCGTGGGAACTCCGATACTTATCGATGTTGCAATTAATCGTCCTTGCCAAAAATGACTATACAATCGAAATCAGAGCGAGTTATCGGATTTTCGTGTTTATTTATCGTATGCATTGTAACAGATATCGATTCTTTCAATAAAAACCATCTACTTTAGCGGCTGCTATCGAATTGTTTGTGTGTTAATCGTGTGCACTTCGATAATTATCGATCGATTCTTGCGATTCCCGCTCTCACCTGCTGCTGCTGCTGCTGGATCCGCTCCTGCTCCTCCTTCTTCTGCTCGGGATCCATGAAGTACAGCTCCTCGGTGGAGCTGCGCAGCTCGAGGGCGCCCTCCTCCCGAAAGCCAAGGCCAATCGTTTCCTGTAGGGTGCCAGTGCCGACCTTCAGAGCATTAGTTCAACCACATAAACCAGCCAGTACACACACATCGAGTCGAGCAGTTCGTTTTGTCAGAGCGATAGTTTGTTTGGTTTTTTGTTTTTTGTTTTTTGTTTTTCGATTTGGTTTATTCGTTGGGGATTGGGGATTAGGCCAGGTGATAGGATGGGGATGAAGGTTGGGGTGTTAGGGGGTTAAGAAGCATGCACGATGGTTAAGGGAGTGGAGCAAAAAGTCGAAAACAGAAAACAGAAACGAAATCAACAAATCAACAGCCAATTTGTGTGCAGGATTCGTTTTGTGGTTCGGTCGGGATTTTGGTTTCGTTTTTCGGTAGGTAGGTTGTAGGTTGTAGGTTATAGGTCAGGGGTTGGATGTTAGGGGGTGTTTGTGTGTGTGCAAGGGGTAGCGAGCGCATCACAGAGTGTTACAGACAGAGAAAGAGACAGATGTACACATATATATACGATGATATACATATCGATGAATGGTTAAGATAGTTTGATTGATGTTTGCAATGGAAAAAGCGGCAAAGAAAAACAGAATCACACGAATCCAAAGGAAGCAAACGAGAGCAAAGTACAACATAATTAGCACCAGATGATTCTATCGCCTCCCTAGAGCCTAAAACTTAAGCCTAAGCCACCCACTTTCCATTGATGGAAGGATATAGCAATTTTTGGGGCATAAGGTATTTCCCAGTCAATTTATTTTTCAATTAATTTCTTTAAAAACTTGGAGTCAAAAGTTTTTTTTTAATTAAAATTCTTTATGGCCATATAACACTTGCGAAAATGTCCACTAACTGATGGGATTTATAAAGAAAATCTTATTTATTAGTCTATTTTATATATTACACTAAAACCATAATTTTTAAGGATATGCTATAGGTTGGCATGCATTTTTTACATAAACCCAATCAGTTAGCTAGTGTCATATGGCTATAAAAACTCGCTAGCTGATCTGAATGCTTGAATTTGATTTCTATTAGGATTATACAATGTATATATACCTTATGCCCCATCCGAAGGGAGTATCCTCAACCTTTGACTCACCTGCTCGAATACATTCTCCGGACTGCTCTCCCGGCTGTCCTCCTCGTGATGCGACGAACTGGAGGCGCGACTTAGCTCGATGCGGGGCGTTGAGGGCGTGGTCAGGGTGGCGGCACCGCGATAACTGCCACTCCCACTGGCACCACCAGGACCTCCAGGACCACCTGGACCACCTGGACCCCCACCCGAATGGGCGGTGGGTGGTATGGGCTGGCCGCCCTCGCTGCTGCTCACCAAAGTGGTGGTCACCGTGGTCGTTGCCGTTTTCAAAGGCGGAGGTCGCTGCTTCGCCTGGACAATCGTTGCCGAGCAAGTGGCCGATGAAACCGATGACGACGAGGAGGAGGATGCGGATGCGGATGCCGCAGAGGCTGCGGATGTAGCGGATGTGGACGCGGATGCAGATGCGGATGCCGTGGCTATGCTGGGCGCTTCTATGCCGCCGGCGGTTCTATTGCGATTCGTCGTCGTCGACATCGTTGTCTGGTTTCGCACACCTTGCTCCATCATCTAAAAACAAATAAATATGTCAATTTATTTAAACAAATTAATCATAAATCATGCACTCTACTACACACAAAATAATATTAGTCCCGAATTTAAGAAATAGGCAACAACATGTTATTTAGGTGCTGACAATTTTTTTCAATTTATTTTCGAAATTTAGAAAAATAACCATAAACTCCAAGTCACATTTCTAACTGCCTTTGGTCGACCACAATTTGTCTGCAATGTAGTTGCAAAGCTGTACAAAGTGTCACTTTGAACTGCCAAAAAGTGCGTTTTGCAATACACATAGTTGCAACATCAATTGACAGCTTGTTCAGCTTCGATCATACTTTAGTTGCAAGTTTCTGCAGTTCTTGCAACTTTATTGCAGATTTGCCTAAAAGTGTTGCAAAATTTCACAGCCTGGCACCTAAAACTCTTCATACAAAGTAAAGTATATGCAACTTTTTCTATATATTAGGTACATGAACTAGAATAGGTCTTTAGTCTTTAGGCTTATATAGGTCTAGTATTTTACATTTGAATGCGACAAATCTGAAAACTAATTGTTTTTCGCAGGGACATCAAGGGACCCCAGATTAGATTAGGGAAAACCCGGGGGAAACGAAGTGGAGCAGAAAACACCCACTGGAGTCTCCCCTCGGATTGCATTTTGCAAATTGAAATCAAACGCTTTCGACACAGTTTCCGCTATATATGTATGTACATTGTATCTGCATGAATGTGATGTGAAGCTGGAACCCGCGGCGTTTTCTCTGCGGATTTCCCTACATTTCGCTTTTCATTTTAGCTTATTCCCACATGTGAATTTTAAATGAAACGCTGAGTTTCTTTGTCTTCTTGGTTTTCATAACCTTGGCGGCTATCATAATTGAAGGGTTTTGGTTTTGGTTTTGGCTTCTGGCTTCTGGCCTTTGGTTTTGCATTGAACAAGACCCAAAACACGACCATCTGGCCAAAGTCCCAGGAACTCGAAGAGGCCTTTGGCAATTTTCCGATAATAGAATGACAAATGGTATTTATTTCAGAAATTATTCAGGCCACCTATTTTCTATTGCCCTAAATATATATTCTGTTTTGTGCAGAGTCATCTGGGTAACTTAAAAAACTCTTCTTATAGGAAATAAAAATTTCCTCTTTGTCCTTTCTTGAAGCTCCTTTAAATAACTGCAAATCGGAGGTACGGGATAATAAGTTTCTCGTCTGCTCCTCAAAGTCTTTGGCTAACACCATTAGCGGGCTTTAAGTTTTCAAGCTGTTTGGAAGGGAAATGGAAATGCGGAGTGGGGTGGGGTCCTAAGTTTACTGGAGCAACAGTCGGCAGGGGGGATGGGTTTTGCTGCAGTTTTTCCTGTGATGATGCTGCACTCGCATTAAAAGCGCTCAAGGAGAAATCCTTTCACACGCAAAAAGTGGGGTTTTGGGTTGCGTATATGTATATTGGCGATAAAGAGATATATGTATGTACATTGTACATATATATGTTGATATATAGTTGCTGGGGGGCTAGGCGTTAGGAAATCGTATGATTGACACATGGCGCCCGAATAGGGGTTGGGGATATCGTTTATTGTCTCTGCGGGACCTTGGGGCCACAAATTAATTTAAAGTTGGCGCTGCCGCTATTCAACGATTTTCGAAATTGAAGGCCCACAAGGCATGCTGTGCGGCAAACACGCCACCCAGTTGAAAGGCCCAGGAATACCGAAACATCCTTAAATCTATAAGCCCCAATAAGAAGTTCTAAGCCTGCAAATGCCTTGTAATGACCAAATATCCCTCAAAACGCTTAGAAATACCCAAACAATGATAACAATTTTTTTTTAGAATATAATATTTATCAAAACCCATCGTAACCTCAGTCAAGCCCCATTGAAAACATGTGATTTCTCTAACCACCGTGCAATCCAAAACTTCCCAAAACTCCGAAAGACCCAAAAAAAAACCCCTGCTCCAAAAATGTTGGCCTTTTGTTTTTGTGGTGTACAGAAAAGAAAATAACGTATATTTCTTCTTTCTTTTTTTGGAAGGCAGGCAGGAAATATGGGCAAGTGTTTTGGGACAAATCGTAACATAATTCTCGGCATAAGAAGTGGAAAAGGTGCAGGAAGAGGAGTAGAACAAGACAGAGACAGAGAGAGAGAGAAAGAGAGAGAGACAAGCCAACAGAGAGGCTGTCACACAAATGTGTGATTAAATTAATTAAAATTTAAATAAAAAGCAGCTTAAGGAGAAGAGAGCGAGCGAGAGAGCAGGGGGGGGGGGAGAAAGAGGATAAGAGAGAGCCGCGTGGCTTGCTTTCTGTTTATTGTTCACACACACCCGCACACACACACACACTCACTCACCGCGGTCCCAAAAAGTCCTCTCCACGTGTGCGTATGTGTGTATTACTTGTCCTTATTAATTTCGCATCAATTTGCACACAAAAAAAAAGTTGAACGGTAAATGCCAGCAAGTGTGATTGTGATTTCTGCTCCTCTTCTCTTGGACTCTGCCTTCTATCATTCGTTTTTTGATTTATCTGCGTTTGGCTGCTCACTTCAGCTTGCTGCTATTGCTATCTCTGTCTGGCTGGCGAACACACACACACGCGCTCTCCCTCTCTCGCAGGAGCACCGTTTACCGTTAGACCGCACGCACGCAGCGCCAGCGTCGAACTGCCCCGAAAAGTATGCTAGCGTTAAATGTGAATGGGAATGCGACGAAAGCTTCGTCGTTTTCGCTTTTCCTTTGCCTCTCCTCTCTCCCCCTCTTCGTCCCGCTCTCTCGCTCCTCTCGCTTCAATTCGCATCGAAAGCTTCGAGCAAAAGGAAACCAGAGGAGAGAGAGGCCGGAAAGCTCGAAGGACTCAGCTGTGGCGCCTGCGAAGCTTCAAGAGTCAACTTGCCATGTGAGTGCGGGTGCGAGTGCGACGGGGATTACACCGGCGGCCAAATGACTAGTTACACTTGGTGGATCAACAATGAAACTGATTACAAATTGGCTTAAAAACAAGTTTTATAAATAGTGATTAATTAATAGTTATTATAAAATAAATATAAATATTGTTTTGTAAATATATTTTTACAATTTGGCAGAATAAATAAAATAAATATTTATTCTTTTACCAAAAATAAGATTTTAAAATGAGAAACTTTTCAAAATCGTATTGATATCGCTTAAGTCAACATGTAACTAACATTAAAGGCATTTAACTTCTCAATTAAAGTTCCAATAGTTCATGTTTCGAAGTATATCAAACAAGGACATCTCCTAAATACCTACACCTTGTTCTACATCCCTTTCCCTCACTGTTTCCTCATTCCGACTTCTGTCCCTTTTGCCGCTGGCTAAATGACATTATTTAGAGCACTTCACTTCAAAATATTTTCCAACGCATGCCGAACTCACGGGCTTTCTGCGACGCGTGTCTATAGCTGTCAAAATTTCAATATTGTTTTCGGTGTTTCTGTTGCTTTTCTTTCTGCCGTTTAAGGTTCATTTTGTTTATTAGCCACAAGCGTTTGGCCTGCCTGCCTTTTAAGTGGCCATTTGCATGATTGCTGCATACATCCCCCTACCCTTGAACCATCGGCTGAACCACCTCCTTCTCCTCCTCCTCCTCCTCATTGCCACCCCCATCTGTACACCCATATTTTTTGGAGAGCGGAAAGCTTTGGCCAAGCTTACAGCGCCCAGTAACGCTTTAGTTGATTTCATGTTTTGGTTAATTAATTTAAGCCCTGCATTATGTGCATGTGACATGAGCCAGCAACACTTACGGTGGTCACTCGATAAATGACCTCGACCAGTAGGAAACCTATCTACAATCATAAGATTAATTGGGTATAGATTTCTACACCACCCATCTATTATATTTATTTGTTCTAATATTATTTATTTCGTTGTAGGGGAGTTTAAAATTTAAATCTTTTAAAGTTGCATTTAAATATAATATTCAAATAATATGGCAATTGTACATATTATTTTCTTTTTAAGAGTAGTGTTCTCTGTACATTGTTGTAGTGTGTTTGGTAAATAGGCTAAAGGACTCACCGCCGCATGGCCAGGATGCTGATGGAGATGGTGATGCTGTTGCTCCTGTTGGCTATGTTGGCTCTGCAGCTGTGCAGTCGTCGTGGCATTGTCCTCGAATGACTTTTCGAAGGATGCAATTGGCGCTGGGCCAAGTCGTTTCTGCCGGCGCGCGTCCATTCCGCAACCGTTCTCCAGTACCAGTACCGCTCCTCGATGCTATTTATTCCGGCAGGAGCACCACGGCATCGGCATGGAATATCCTTTAAATGGAGCACCAACTACGGAAAGGAGAACAAAGAAAAAAAAAAGGGGAAAGACACACATTAGAAGGCCATTGGCACGATTTCTCTCTTGGCGTGGCTTTTCATAATTGCCTGTGGCAACAATATTGAACTGGAAAAAAAAACAATAATTGCTACTGGTTATTACCAACCAAAAATATTTATATTTGAAAAAAATGCAATTTATTAATAATATTATTATAAAAACGAATTATTTTTTGTGGAAAATTAGGATCTGGGTTTTTGCATTTTTTTCTATTGGTTTTTTTGCTGTAACTTGGGGGTATAAAGTATGTATCGATAATATGGATAACTTTCTTGGTAAGAATCTAAAAACATCATTGGTCACTAGAAATGATTTTTTTGTCCAGTGCATAGCAACTACAGCCAAACGGTTGCAATCACATATCACTTGGCTTTTACTGTTGCTCGCGTTGGGCCCCATCAATCATTGGGGAATCATTTGGAAAAAATAAGCCAAACTAAATATACATGAGGCAATACGTGTCTGCATTGCCAGCGAATAATTCGCCAGTGCGAGCGAGCGAGACAGCTGCGCAGAAAAAGAGAGAGAGAGGGAGAGATGAAGGTATGAGGGGGTTTTATTCCGTGTCAACAGTTCATTGAACCGCGTGGCAGCCGCAAGCGAACCGGAAGTGAAATAATAACATCAACAATTGATGAATATTTAAAGAGTCGGCCATCCAGGGTTGTCATGTAATTCTAGGAAATTCCCCATTAAATATTCAGCGCTATTATTCTTACACCGGGCATCGTGGCTTACAGCACTTTCTAATTTCGTAGTGCCACTATATCTATATATTTATAAAAGCCTAAAACTTTAATACAAATAAAATACATTTGCTAGGGTTGACACTTAACTATAGGCACAAGCTATGAGCTATAAACTTCATTTCCTATAAATGAAACCTCATAAAAACATCGAAAATGCCGGAGTAATATTACCCAACAATAGTTGTTTCGTTTTCCTAACCAAATTAGGTCAATCAGATGACGCAGGACCAAAGTAAATATCAACAAATAATCCATTTTCCATGAGTTCATCAAATCTGCCTCGTCTGCTTGGTACAAAATTGTGTTGAAACTTTAATCAAAAGCCAATAAGAGTTACTATTTTTTTGATTTTCAAATAAGTGAGGTCTTGGAATCTGTTATTTCAGATTTTCCGAGAAGCACAAAAGCAATTGCTACCTTTCATTTTAATACACAAAAAGACAATATTTCCTTTCTCCCTCGATTTTCTGGGGCCAAAAAAAAAATGAAAAACGAAATAGGACATAAAACTCGAGCATCCTTGAACCACACACACACACATATATATAGATATATACACACATCCTGACGCAAACATGATTATTGCAGCTGCCTGGTATAAAGTTTTTTTTTTTTTTTTTTTTTTTTGGGCGAGGGGGTGTCTTGTGTTGGAAACTTTTATTCTGCAGTTTGTTCTGGTTATTGGGGCAGTGGAAAAAAAGTGGGAGTGGTCCTGTGGGGAATGCATATTGATTGGGGAGCTGCGAATCGAAATGAATTCGGTGCATTATTCATCGACATGCGGATATATATATTGTACAATATACAATATCCACGGGAGTCCGATGGCGAATTGTTCGGTGTTCGTCTAAGCAAATGTTTGAACGACTCGATATCGAAATAGAAGTCAAAAAAAGTTATCCATGAAATCCATGACACCTCTGAATTATTCACATAAAACCTTTGTGATTTGGGTTAAAGTTTTTAAAAAATCAATTGGGTATTTTCTAGGTTTGGAAAAATATCCAAGTATTTCATATTTTTGTTACCTTCTTGATCAGCAAACCTTTCAAAGGGTCTCGATTCAACCTCAAGCACGAACACACAACGAACCCAAACACCCAATACCCATTCCAATGTTGACGTAGTTTTTAATAAACTTGTCAGCGCCCTTTTCCGCAATCCAACCCCACCACCCACCGAACTCCCACCACCACCCCCGGCGATAGCCTTGAACCCCCCAGCCCCACCCATCGACCCCCATATTTGACCTTCTGCTGGCGCGGTTCTAAATTTAAAACGTTTAGCAGCAATTTTTCGTAATTTGCCCATGGAACCCATAGTATCTAGGCAATGAATACAAATGAGTGCACTCATCACTGTCAGGTTGTGATAAAAACGCTGAAAAGCTAAGGCCAAGCACTTGGTACACATATATGCATACATAATTCAGCTGCTTTTGAAGGGTATAAACCCTGGTGACAAAAATATGAATGCAAACATGAAACTAATTAATTGCACTGCGCAAACATAAGTTCGAAATTCCTGTAATTAATTGACCAGCCTGCATTTTTATAAAATTAATTAAACAATCATAATTGACACAAACAGTATTAAATCGAATGCAATTATTTGTGTTTACACATAACTGCGGTGTCTGATGAATAAATAAATATGAAATGGGAATAAAATAAGGCATACCTAAATTTTTACAAAATATTTCAATTATTTTCCCTTAGTTTGTAGAAAGTTTTATTAACTTCCCCATTCCCCAGGGAAACCCGAATTATGTTTGTGCTTGGCTTTTTGCTTACCATGCCAAAGTTTTTCCTTAATTCTGTCAAACAATATTGAATCTATTCCAATTAGTTGCACATTTGCAACACACATTTTGTTACATTTTGTTGCACATACCTTACTTTGTTTCACTTTGTACCTGAAGTCCACTAATTAATTCTATTTCATTAGACACAATTTGTGGAGAGTACCACTATTTTCGGGCTTCCCTTTGTCTCAATTAATTGCACATATGCATATACATTTTAAAATTTTATGACATTACTGAACAGAAACTAAAATATCCCCCTTTGTGTAATTAAATCTGAAGTCAAAAGTTTTTGTTATTTTCGGGAAACCCCCTTTTTCTGTCCTCCTCCCTTCGTTTTAAACTACTCGATGGCCTTTAGCACAGAAGGAGCATCGAAAATCGATGGAATCAGCGCCAGAAAGTGGAGGAGGGTGCACAAAAGGCGACAAGGATGTCAGCATAAGCGCGCAACTTTGGCAAACAGCTTAAAGAACTGTTCTCCCTGGCGATATTGTATATAAGACTTGACTGAGCAACCCACCACCCACACTTTTCCCTCCCCTTTTCAGTGAAACTTTGCTAGGCTAAACTATGAAAAGAGGAATTGGAGTAAGAAAACAAAACTTTGTCGGGCCGAACATAAAATAAACATTTACAAATCTTTACAGCATACTGGGAGTCTCAGACTTCGATCCCAATAACCTTTATAAACTTACGAATTCCTGCCCTTCATCGGGTTGCCTATGAATAAACTCATCACTTA